CGTTGTTTAATTGTTTCGGTTCTATAATGTAAATTTATATTTAGTTAATAACTTGCAATTAATCTTTTTTATTATTTTAGATTTGAAAAGTTTCTCTTTCGTTAAAGTCAAATATATTTTAAATTGAAAATTTACTGTACTACTAGAAATTAGATTTTTATAGAGCTGCTATTGACGTAGACAATGCCATAATTCATTTACACAATAAAATTAATATATTAAAATAGCATAGTTAAAACAATATTACATATCGAAAAAAGTTCTTTTTTAAATTATGAAACTTATTTTTGCCATCATAAAACAATCCATATTATAACTCATCAAATAAGTTGTAATGAATAATACCGTTGCCGATAAACTATACCAATAAAAATAAATTACTGGTTAAATTTGACCAAAAATATGTAATAATACGATAAAAAAACCGAGTGATAATCCAAGTAAAAAAGTAACACTGCTAATCCATTAGAAGTAATCTGTAATTAATTATAATAAATGACCTAGTAACCCCTATGATTTAACGCAGAATATAGAACAGAGATATTCGTAATTCGTATAAATGATCTAGACGACTTTCAAGTTATTGTCTAGATAGGCATATAAGAGGGATTTAAATATTACCTCACATTCGTTAAAGTGTTTTTAAACGTCGATACCCAACATATTCATCATCAGTTCAATATCTGTTTTATTTAAATGTACCTTCACAAATACAAACTAATAATTATTACATTTTTTTTATTTTATCTAAAGTATGAATTTTTCATAGATTTCTTTAGATTCTCACCATTACTCATCAACTCAAAAATTATAACAAATCAAATTAATTACATTGCTGTAAATATCCAGTAGTATGTATGAACCAATTCTTTATAACTTTTAATATTTAACATGAATAAATTAATATTAATAACGTAACTAATATAATTAATTATTCCACGTACTTACATTAATATTCTTATATGAATATAATAAAGTTTAGATCACAATACTTCATACCTTTAATCATAATATCTATAAATTATTTATTAATATTTACAAGTGACAATGCTATAGTCTACTTGTCAGTGTATCAATCATATTCTGAAATAACAATAAATTGTTATAACAATTCGGTAGGATATGATATTCTTAGAAGTTCTGAAAATATTGTCGCTCATATTTTCATAGCTTCGAATATAAATAAAGGTACTTAGAGTACTGCGGCCTTTATCAAATATTTTTACTTGAGTTCTTTCCGAATGAGATAACGTAGCTTATCAAAATATATCCATGTGTAAAAATTATCAAATATTTTTCAAAATTCAGAGTCCTAATGATATAAAATCGATATGTCAACATTATTAATCAATAATAACTGTCGTCTAATCAATCTTATTACATTTAAAATATCCGTTCTACTAATATTTTGGGATGTTAAAAATGAATATTGTTTATATTATAACTCATGACCTTTGGAATTTGTTTATTTAGCTCAACTTTCATTATTTATAATTTTTATCATATTTTATACTCTAAGTATATTTACGTTTACAATATAATAAAATAAGGATTATGTAGAATATTAATATTGTCCGGATATTTTAATTCAATATATGAAATTGAATAAATAGAATTTTATAATTTAATTTAAAAACTGTAATTTAGTTTTGTGTTTATGACTATAATAATTAAATTTGTATCACTTTACATTACAATTTTAAGATATTATTTTTTTAAGAGTTTTAAATAAGTCTTTTCTATTATACTTTGTTTTTATTTTTTATAATTTAAAACTAATTGTGTGAAAGTACAGTATTTATAAGTTGTTAAATTTTAATCTGAAAATGCAGCGTAATTGGTAAAAATGTTTTGATAAGTTTATGTTGTTTAATGATTAAGTATAATGCGCTACATACATTTATTCCTATAATTTAATGATAATAATATGAAAATTTTTATTTAAATAGTATATTCAAATAATAGTAATTTAATATTATATTGAAAAATACGACAATATATTAATAATGTAGTAAAGTAAATACTTCACATTACTAATAAAGTAGTGAAATGCATGTTCCATACATTTTTAAATAACAAAATACTATAGATACTCATCTTCGCTTGGCCAAGTAAGACGTAGTTTGAGCCATTATTAGTTCTTATTAGAAAGATAGATAGATTTTTAATCATTTTTAATCATTTTAAGCATCGATCATAATACAGTAGACACATCACGGAAATCCTCAAAAAGAAAAAGAAAAGTTTGAAAAGAATCATGAAAAGTTCATATGTATATATGTATCAATCGTGGAATCGTAAAAAGAATTTTTTAATTTATTTGTTTGGCCTTTTAATTTTCAAAAGAGAGGTTCAACAAAAAGATGCTGCTCCTTACTATTTGCATTAAAACAATTAGAGAAATAATTCCTAGAACAAAAAGTAATTTTATTTTTTCATAGGATTTAAACGGAACGGGGACTAGATAAATAAAAAAACATAACTTTATTATTTAAATATTTAAAATACTTAACACTAATTCAACAGAATCGTCACTATAGACATATCAGGTTTAATGAACCTTTATTTTTGCTTTTTTAATTAATTATGTCATTTTATATTTATTAGCTCTCTCTTTTTTATCTAGATTTACGATTTAAGAATAAAATATATTTTTTTATAATTAAAATTATTTTAAACCTTGCGTCAGTAAATTAAAAAAAATAATTTTATACATTAGATAAAAAATGTTAAATAATATAATTCACTTCATAATAACTCTATATATACCAATAATATAGACCAATATAAGCAATATGCTTATATAAATCATAACTTTAAATGTATTGAAGTGCGAAATAAAATTATTAATTAACTTAGATTTATTTAGAATTAATTATAAAATTATATATATTTACATCTAATAAAAAATTAATCAAACCATAAAAATAATTAATATAAAAATAACTTAGAAAACTAGATACCAAAATTTTGAAAGCAAATTTTATAATTTTGAAAATAATTATTACTTATATATATATTTTTTTTTTTTTGATTATGTAAAGAAAGTAGAAGGTGTATAAGTAATGAAATAAATAATATTTATTCGATATATCCTTTATTAAATAATAGATCAGTAGATGATCCCTCTAACTTATATCTTAATTAGCATTCATAAATTTTTAGTTTTCTTATATATTAGAATCATGATTTAAATTGTATGTATCTTTATTCAATTTTCTTTTATAAATTAAGAATGTATTTGAAACCAAGTTCCATTTTTATTATTACTTATTTATTGCCATTTTATATATTAGTTATTATTGAAATATTTTTAATTGAAAAATTCTTAATATACAATATTCTTACTATATTTTCTCTTTTTTAAGGATTTTTATATAAATATATATATATATATATATATATATAAATTCAATGATTGCTCATTTTTGCAAATGTGAATCTATTTTTTATACTCTACTAAACTGTTATGTTTTTATTTCTCAAAAAGTTAGTCGATAAGTAAGTCATTTTTACTAATATAATTAATTAGAAATAAACTTTTAGACACCTAACTAAATATTATGAATTAGACAAAAAAAATGTTCGAACCATTTATATATAAAAATGTCTTCAAATAGATTTTATTATATGATATTTTTCTACAATATAGTTTATAGTATATTTACTTAAATAAAAAATGACTACATTTTATTATTTCTTCGAAGAATTGAGTTTATTAATTCATAATATCGCAACTAAATTTCGTATTTACAAAGATATAGCATTATAATTTAAAAATAAAATAATGTATAATAATAAATAATTTCTATAAATAACTAAATTTTATCTTAAATTAATTTAAAAAATAAAAATGTATTATATCAAAATATGTACAAAAATTTTCCCAATATAATTTATTTATGTTAATTATTTATATTAAAAACATTAATTCATATTAATATTTGTAAAGCTTTGTATGAATTTATATTTTTACTTTATAGTATATAAATATTATTTTTTCATAAATTTTATGCACAGATTTCATATAAACTATATTAATCAATCAGTAATTATTAATAAATACTAATTTAAAGTATAGAAAATGTAATATCGTTTTTTCATTTTATTTTATATTTTATTCAATATTTTTCGAAACAAGGGTTACATTTTGGCATTATAACATATATAAATATCATTAATTTTTAATGAAAAAATATCTTAAAAGAAACAGATTATAATACTTTTTTTAGAATAGCTCATTATAGTTGTTTTTCCTACATGAAAGAAATATAGAAAACAACCATTTTTTATATTATTAACTTAAAGTATCGTTTTTGGTTCAATGATCAAGCTGATATTTTTATTTAAATACCATTATAAAATATTTAAACAAATAAAACAACTTTAATTAAATCAACAATAATTTTGAGATTTGAATGAAACGTAAAATCGTTTAATTAATTTCTTAATATTGTAAGTTGGATAAATTATTCTTATTATTTAATGGGTTCAATCATAAATATTAATTTATAGTTAAAATTTGCTGATGTATATATCTACATTTACAAAATTTAATTTTTATTGTCTTTTATTTCCTTTTAAAAATTATAAAAAGAAATTTTAAATAATTATTTTATTATTTTTCAGAGGACGGTTTAAAAGTCATAGATAGCTCACATTATTTCTTTATAAAAAAAACCAATCTTTATTATATAATATTAATGGAATTAATACCTTAATCCACATACATATAATATTAGTATTATTTCCATATATTTTTAGTTTTTCTGAATAAATCTTCGAAATATTTAACACTAAAATGTGTGAATATTTGTATTTAAAAACGTAAAAATTGAAAAACATTTTTTCTTTTTTGGTATTATTAAAACATTACTAATTGTAAATGTAATAGGAAAACGTAATTCACGTTTTAAAATTAAAATTAATTAATGAATCATACTAGAACGCCAAAAATAAAAATAATTTATACATAACATATATAATCTGTGATGCTCTTGTTAATAGGGTCTCCAGACTTGTCTAGGCTTTGGACTTCTGTCCTTCCTGTGCCTAGTTGCTTGTCTTTCTGCTATTTCAACTTCTTCTTCCTTCCGTTTTGTTGTTGTCAAATCCTGACCGACGTTCTCTTTATTTTGATGTTGAGTTCTGGTTTTCTTGCTCAAATCAACTGTGCCTTCCATTCGAATTTTCACATTCAAATCACACTGATTGATTTGATCTTGATGATTCAACTGTGTGATATAACCGTAATCGTTACCATTTTCCAGACTTGGTCGCAGACGACCCATAGTCTCTTCTTGGAAACATTCGTTGTCGTTTCTAACATTTTTAGAATTGAAATGTTATGTTAAATATTAATAAGTGTTTATACAAAATGATATTTTAATATGTAAATATATTAAATAATTGAGAAAATAAATTTATCTTCTAATATATGTTATTGGATGAATAACAATTTATTATTTGTGGTAGGAAAATTATACTACCTCACGCAATTGGAAAGCTTCAAAAAAATAGTTGTAAATATTTTATAATACGTTGATATTATTAATTTTATAATTTTATTTAAAATTTGTAAAAATATTAAAAATGTGCTGGATAAATTTTAAAATAGTTCAAAATTAAGATTGAATAAGTAAATGGAATAAATTGAAAATTATAAATATATTAAATATGCTAATTACTTAAGATATTGTAATTATATTGAATATTATTAAATTAGAATTAAATTGAATATTTTACATTTTATTTAAAAATTATTTTATGTTTTATTATATTATTTTGGAAACTATTCTTTTAATAGTTTAAATAAAAAAAATAATTGAAATCTAAATTACACAATATTAATCCTATTAAATGATATTAAATTACTTACAAATATTAAGATTATTTGTTCAATTTTATCTTTATAGTTAACATCAAATACTTAAAGTAATTTATTTGTTTACTTCGATAGAAAATTAGATTTAAATCGTCAATCAGTTATTCAAACAATTTCAAAAATTTTAAAAACATCGATATTAAATTCTGCAACTAATCATTTTATTGTATATCAATAATTTTACAATAAACAATAACTGAAGAAAAAAATTCGATAATACCTGACAGGCGATATTCTTAGACTATCCTGTTCCAAGGACTCCTCGCTCTGTGAGCAGTGTTCGATCTTAGGTCGAGGACCCTCACTATCATCTACTTCTATGCTGCCATCGAGACTGTCCAAATCTCGGGAAGTTTCCTCCTTATACTTAGATTTGTCTTCGGGGCTATTGCTATTATCGCGTAGTTTACGGAGGTCCTCGAGACGTGATAGATCGGGTTTCTGTAGACGCTGTTGGGCCATATGTAAAGCTAGTGCATGCCATTCTGGCTCTAATATGTATTGCTGGGTATGATATATTGGATTATATAACCATGAAGATTGTGGTAGAAGTGGTGCCAGTATAGAGCTAAATAGGGAATTCGATGTGCCTAGAAGATGAAGGCCTGTGTGATTGACAAGAAATATTGAATATAAATTATGTTTTATTTTTATTGCATTTTAAAATGTTAAATTGTAAAGTTAATATTTATTTTATGTCAAATTACTTCAATATATATTGAACTATCAACTTTGAATTTTAAATTAAAATTTAAAAAATAAGTATTTAGTCCTTATTACAACTAATATTTATATAGTTACATATTATATTGATTAGTTTGAAATGCTAATATAGAATTATATACCCCCTATAATATACATACGTAGCGTATATATATTAATATTATTTTTAAATATATCATTTGCAGCAATAACTACAAATACATTCACTAATACACGTATTTCACAAAAAAATATTAGAAAGTGATTAAATTTGAAAAGATATAAATATGAGAAATTATAGCAAAAATATAATAAAATGCTTACCTTGAAAGTACGAATGGTGATCGGATGGATTGGCATTATTTGTCGTTGTCGTCGTTGATTCAATAGTCGTTGGTGTCGATGTGCTTATAGTTACTGGTAATCCTAGACCAATATTTTCAGTGGACGGAACAGGAGCTACTTCTTGAATAGAAACGCTAATCGTTCCGAGCTCTGCCGTAGATGAGCCTTAAATCGATTAATCATTCCGTTAGATTACATAAGCAACATTAAACAATTTTTTAAATTTAGAATTTCAGTTAATAATGCTATAACTTTCTTTAATTTTTATTTAAAATTTTAGTGATAACTATATTAAGGACTTGACAACAAAGAAGCAGGAAGAAATGTATTAGTAATTCTAAAAAATGCTTTTTCTTTCATACCAATTTTTCTGTACAAATACAAAAGTAATTTGATTAAAGAGTTCTGATTTGAAACTGATAATGAAAAGTGGTAGTTTTTATTAAAATTTGTTTACTGTTGATTGTGGTGGATAATCTCGGCAGTCTTTGCTCAATGACTTTATGGAAAGGGTTGAAGGCAGAGGCAACAACGGCGGCAGCAGACGTTACCGCTGCTGCTCCCCCGACCGCTGAAGACTGTGGCTGAGAGTGTGAATGATGACTCGGAGGTCGTTGCAGGCAATGTGGCGGCAGACTCCCGCGATGTAAACCACCCCAACTCTGTGTCGTCGCTACTCCTTGATCCAAACCCAGATATTGCATACCTATAAAGACATTATCTTTCTTTTCATCTATAATATATCTTTCTTATTCCATATTCATTTCATCATTTACTTTATTACATAAATATTAAATTCTGAAGTTTCGAATTTTACATAAAGAGACGTATTTTAAAAATTATATTATAACTAATTATAAATCTGACTTAAAGATTATAAATATATGTATTTTATATTATTTAATAACATACTTTGATAAATAAACTTTCATTCAATCTATATAAATATATTATATACTTATATTTTTGAAAATAATTTATATTTGTTGACTAATAATTTAAGTGATATTTAATTTCATTGAAATTATATAAGATATAAAAATATAAATATAATTAAATAAAAACAGTTTGAAATTTTATAGATATACTATAGAATAAAAATAGGAAGAGAAAAAAATCCACGAAAAAGTTGAAAGAGGGACAGAAGTAAATAGAAAAAGGAACGAGGATTTTAAAATCAATACGAGAGAATTGAAGATCATGAGACCAACAATCAATTAATCGACGTAACATCTAAATGTCTAAGTAAATATATTTATAATTTCATCTTTACTTTAACAGATTATATCATCGTCCATACAGAGTATTTAGACAATAAACTAAGTGTTGTAAATTTGATTATATCAGGTAAAAAAATTTGTTTCGAAGCAAATATAGTCTGCCACATAACGAACATTAAAATATACAGTATAACTAAGTAAAAAAAAAAAATAAATAACTAGGAAATATTTGAAAAAATTTTTATAATAGTACATTTTTGAAATAGTATTTATTAATTCAATTCAATTTATATGATTTATTATTATATTACTTCTTGTTTAATAATCTTATTAAGTGTTTTCTTCTCTCTATTAAATTTTTGTCGTAGAACTCACAAAATGTTTAATTTCTATACACATTTTTATAAAATCAATTATTTTGTGATTTTATTACTATTAGATTACTTTTATAATCTTTATTATTTATATAGGTTATTATATTATAAATGAAAACACATTATTAAGATTTAGTACATATTAAGAATATATTAAGAATTTATATAATTTAAGTAAAAATAAATAGTAATAACTTAAAGAAAACTCTAGAAATCACTGAAATAATATTTAGTATTTATTATATGCAACAATTGAGATATATGTTTTAATAAACGAATTTTTAAATCAGTTTTTCCTAATAATAAAATACTAATAACAATTTTAATATTATTTAGTAATGGTTTATTCAATAAATAATGTATTTTAATTTAAATAGATTAACAAAAAACGTTTTGAAATGTTCTAAATACTATTCAATCACTTCAAAATTACAACATTTGCTTAAAATGTTTATATTTCTTTTTCATAAAATTTGTCTAAAATAGAAGAAGGATAAATATTTAAAATTAACTTGTTACTTTGGAAATCTCAACCTCAACCGAAAAGAAACTCAAAATATAGAATGATGAAAGAAAATAATTTAAAAAAATTTCAATTATTATTTTAATTAATTATTGATTTAATTGCTGAAATATAATAAGGAAAAAGAGTTAAAATAACAAAGTTATCAAGTATATCAAATTTATGAAAAATTGAAAGAAAGAAATTATAGACCGGAAGAATCAAATATTGGAGATAATAAATGAATTTAAAAAAATGTCTCGTTCAGGAGAAATTACAGGTAAGAAAAAATAAAAGATTAAGTAAATGAAGTACGCAGAGAAAGAGCAGAAGTCGAAAATAAAGAGCATCGAAGCGACAAAGTAGTAGTAGAAAAAAAGAGAGGTGCAATGGAGAGAGTTGTGAGCTTAATACATATAAAGAACTGAAGGTTTAGTTAAAGAAAGATAGAATATAACTAGTAGATAGTAGTAGCGAAACAGATAAAAAAAATAGTTTGCCAACAGTGGGGCGCTTTAGAGTTAAGGGGGACTGCAAGCTTTTAGGGCTTTGGAGGGGTAAAATGGATAGGGAAAAATATAGTGAGTCGAGGTGGGGATGGCCGTGGAGTCACTGGTGCATGGGCGTGGCGGACGGAGATTGCGGCATGCCGGATTGGTTGCCCACAAAACCCTTTAGCGGGGTCGATGGTGGCAACGGCGATGGGATGAGAGAGAAAAAATATTGTCGAGAGAGATGGAAATATTAAGAACAGCAGTACAGGCGAGTAATACTCTTTAAGTATGAGCAGAAATTGTAACAAAACAAGTATAGTTTTCTTCATCCGCAATACTACTAATCATAGTAGTTACAGACAGTAGTTTCTGTCGACTTTACTTCATACGGAAACTAACAACAATAAAAGACACAAAAAAAAGAGTGAGAAAGACAGAGTGAAAAAATATAATTTAAAGTTGAAAAAGCATAAAGAAAAGGCACCAAGAATTTTCAGGTGATTTTCATCTTTCTAGCGAGCAAGCAAGAAAGTAGGTAATAAATAGGAATAAATAGCAACGAACTTTATTTACTAAAATATTTATGAAGTTTCTTTATACCTATAATTATTATATTTTATACCTATAATTAGTATATTTTATACCTATAATTAGTATATTTTATACCTATAGTTAGTTAATAGTCTTTAACACTATACTATACTCCATATATTCAAAATAATATTTGGATGTAGATGATACATTTCCTTTTCAGAGTATTAATTAATGGTTTATTTTTCTTTAGATTTATATTTTGATTTTTATAGCGCATGTAAAATAATTATAAAAAATGTACATTTTGAATTTGACTAATAATTTCATATCATTTTTCTATTTTATTCTTAAAAATGATTATATAAAAATTTATTTTAAATTATAAATATTATTTTATTTATATGTCAGTTAGTTTTTATTTCGTATAATTTATCAAATTTAAGAACTTATATTTTTTATTTATGCTAATAATAATAAATGTCTATTCATTATAATATTATTTATATAGTTAAATTAATTAGGTATGTTTGATTAATTTAAGAATTTTAGAAAAATTTACCAATTATATGTTAAAACAAAATATTATAATTAGTACTTTTAAAAATATTTTATAATGTAATAATTTTAAATTAAATAGAACTTATTATTATACAGAAAGAAAGTATAATTTAAAATATTAAGAATTTTATCATTTTCTATGTGGATCCAAAATTTCATATCCTAATTATTTTTATAAACATTAAATATAAATTTTAATGTTCATTATAATTGATAATTATATTCATTGAATATCATTTTTTATACATAAACTATGTTTTCGAATTAGATCTTTATTAAAATTTTATTTAACCATATATCCTAATATTCTATTTCTATTCATATCCTAATTATTTTTATAAACATTAAATATAAATTTTAATGTTCATTATAATTGACAATTATATGCATTGAAATCATTTTTTGTACATAAACTATATTTTCGAATTAGATCTTTATTAAATTTTTATTTAACCATATATTTATTTTTTACCAATGTTAGAGTTGGAAGGAAACAAAAAAAGTGATAATGAGAGAAAGTCAGAGGAAGAAGGAAAATATTTTCAATTTAATAAACCCTTGAATACCACGCGGTCCCCCTTTAGGTCTTCCTATGCTACCGCTTTGGACAGGGGCGATAATTCCGAAAACAAATGAAGACTAATGAGGGGAGGTCTGATGTTGCTACTGCTCCCGCCGATGCTCTCGTTGCACGTAAAGTGGCAAAACAAGGATGGAAAAAGGAGAGGAAGAGAAAGTGAGGGAGAAAGGGTTTTCAGAGCACCCTTTCAAGGAGTCTGAGAAATGTTGAGCTTAAACGACGGAGGGCCTTTACGTCAAGAAGAGAGAAAGAGACAGAAAGAGGCTAAAAGAGAAAGGGAACGAAGAAAAGAGAGAAGAAAGAAGATTCTAGAGAAGAAAATCCTGGTAACCCCTAGTGACTGTGAATTTAAGGGATGATGTATTTTCACGGGTCTGCAAGGACGCGTTGATGTCCTTTGTGACAAATCGGGAAGTAGCTCATGATTTTGGCGTTCTTTTAGCATAGTGTTATTTTTTATGTATTTATTGACCATGTTGCTAGTATAAATTAAATTTCCAAATGAAATAATACTAGGATAATTGAAGCTATCTTTGGGAACTTCTCAACTTTAAAACTCAAAATAACTTTAAAAGAAATAAAAATAATATATTTTTCATATATATATATATTTATTTATTTATTTATTTAGTAAATAACTTTTATAAATTATTAACATTATCCATTTTTATTTTATAAAAGGAAAAAAACTTCAATATTTCTATAATATTTCAAAAATATTTGTAATATAATTAATTATACATTCATTTAAATATTTAGGTAAAGTCTTCGTCTCGTTAGAAGTGTAAGCTAGCTTTGTAAATCGTGAATTTTAAAAATTTTATTTTTTAAAGATAATCTAAAGCGCTTGAAGTTAAAGAGGCATTAGGAAGTAAAGCCTAGTAAACTTGGGGATAAGTAAAG